ATGCCCCTTGGTTAGTACAGGCAGACCACACCAGACTGGACGGTTCCATACTTTCCAGAGCTTACGTTGCAGGTGAGGAAGATATACCCCAAAAGGGGTGCGATCGAAGACGAAGAGGGCGGGTATCGAAGGGTTTGGGATATCCGTGTTTAATGGCACGAACGCAGATAATAGCGAACAGTCTTAAACTAATGGTTGTCGTTGACTTGTTGTTGTTGTTGTTGATGCTGTTGCTGTTGCTGTTGTTGTTGCTCTTGCTGTTGTTGCTGTTGCTGCTGTTGTTGTTGTAGTTGTGATTGTTGCTGTTGTTGCTGTGATTGTTGTTGAGGTTGTTGAGGTTGTAGTTGTAGTTGTAGTTGTAGTTGTAGTTGTAGTTGTAGTTGTAGTTGTAGTTGTAGTTGTAGTTGTTGTTGTTGTTGTTGTTGTTGTTGTTGTTGTTGTTGTTGTTGTTGTTGTTGTTGTTGTTGTTGAATTCCCATCCTGAAGAATAATTATTGTTGATCCCCCCCACCGGTGCATACTGTTTTTCTCAATCAAAGTGTGCCCCTCGACGCTCGCACCCTGTTTTTTCACAGGGAAAGTCTTCCTGCTCAAACTGGGCCCCTGGCCCCCGGGTTACAACAACAACGGCTCCCGCCTGAGACTTCCTTACAATTTAGCCAGGACCCCCGCTCCCGCCCGACACTCCCTCGCATTTTATTCAGGAATCGCTCTCTCGCTTCGGACTTCCTTACAATTTACTCAGGAATCGCTCTCCCGGCGCTCTGGAATCGCGCTCTCGCTGGAGACGTGCTTGCAACTTCCTGAAGAATGGCCTTGCGTTGGGATTTCGTGCAATTTGCCCAAGCGCCGCGCTCCCGACACCCAGGCACCCAGGAGTCGCGCCCGTCGTGGCCCCATGTGCATGCCCTTCGTGGCCCCGCTGTCGCCATTTGTGCCCCCCTCACTGTCCTACGTGGCCCAGTTGCTACCCTCAGTGGCCCCATAGTTGCCATCTGTGGCCCCGCATTATCTGCACTTCGTGGCCCCCGCTCGTTCGCGCTCTTCGTGGCCCCATACGCATTCCCTTCGTGTCCCCGCTGTCGCCCTTCGTGGCCTACTTCGTGCCCTTCGTGGCCCTGCTGTCGTTCTCTCTCGCTCTCGTTTTCGTTCGTCGTCGCCGTCGTCGTCGTCGTCGCCGTCGTCGTCGTCGTCGCCGTCGTTTTCGACGTCGTCGTCGTCGTCGTCGTCGTCGTCGTCGTCGTCGTCGTCGTCGTCGTGGTCGGTCCCCTGTCCGTCCCTCTTGGGGTCGGGTCGACGGTCCGCGGCAGCCCCGCCGATCAGCGCTGCCGCTGGCCAGGCCGACGGTCCGCGGCCGCCCCGCCGCTTGCCGGGGCCTGGCCTGCAGGGAAGAAAGGTCTACCCCCCGAACGGGGTTCGATCGAAGACGAAGAGGGCGGGTATCGAGGGTTTGGGAAATACGCGTTATTGGTCACTCAAGCATATAAGGGCGAACGCTCTTAATATTACAGTTGTTGTTCTTGTAGTTGTTGTTGTTGTTGTTGGATTCTCGTTCCTGAAGAAGAAATATTGTTGGTTCCCCCTGCACGGTCACCATTATTCTTATGCAGATGCTTCTCCCGGGGCTCGCACCCAGTTTGTTACAAGGGAAAGTTGGGTGCCACCAAACTGCGCCCCTGGCCCCCGGTTTACAACAACAGCGGCTCCTGCCAGATACGTCCTCACAATGTATTTCCACATCGCGCTCTCGCGCTGGACTTCCTCACAAATTATGCAGGAATCGCGCTCTCGCGTGGGACTTCCGCGCGACTCCTTCAGACGCCGCGCCCTGGACACTCAGGAATCACGCTCTCGTTGTGGATGCCCAACAGATTTATTTGGGGGTCGCGCTATCGCTCGAAACGTCCTCGCGATTCGTGCAGGACGCACGCTTCAGAAACATGCCTGCTCGACCTGGTCGCCTGTGCCCGGCTTCCCGACCCGCACTTCAGGGTCTACCCGCCCGATCAGCCCGTCTGGTTCTGCCATGTGTTTTCTGCTCTTCGCCCCCCTCCTCCTGCTCTCGCTCGCGCTCTATCCTAATCCTTCCCACTTGTCCATTCTTTCCATCCGTCCTCTCTTCCCCTGCCTTCGGGGCTGTGCGAAATGCGCGCTGCAGGTAAGAGATATGTACCTGGGCGCTGCATTGGCACGGGCAGAGAGCAGATTTCTTGTCACAGGCGACAGGGTCCGAATACTACTGACTGCCAACATGGTGCGCGAGCCTCGAGCGCCGGGCGAGCTGTCGAGAGGGGGGCCAGCCGAAGTGCCACGGAGAGCTCTGGCCACGAAAAAACAAGCCCATAGCCCATAGTATGGAACGTGGGGATCGGGTGGGCGGGTACATTCACACCGGCATGAGCCTATAGCTGCAGAGCACAAACAGGGCAGAACAACTGAAAAGGCACGATTCACGGATGCTGTCATCTCAGCGGAGCCGAAGGAGTTGGGGCAGCTTGTGCAGGAGCGCGGCGCCACGGCGCTGCTGGAGGTCCGAAAGTTTCCGAACCTGGCGAAGGACGCGCCCCTGCTTGGCGTAGTTCTTGACGCTGCTCTTGGCCTCCCAGCGGCCGCGCTCCTGAACCTGGGCCAGCGCGCGGTGGTTGCCGAGCGCGTCCTCGCTGGGGCCGCCGCGGCGCAGCATGTGAGGCGTCCAGGCCGGCGGCCGACGCTGCGCTGTAGATGAGCTGCGGAGGTGCGTGCGGCCCGCGGCCAGTGAGATGGCGTCGCGCACCAGGTCGGTGTCGTCGTGCTTGCCCGTCTTGGCGGGCGGCGTCGCTGAACCCTCCTCGTCCTGCGAGCGGGGGGGGGCTGGGGCGATGGTGATCGCCGGAGGGCCGCGCGCAGACGCGTTGGCGACGTCGGCGCGCCTGATGTTGAGCACCTCCGACGGGCGGAAGTACGCGTCCTGCGTCGGGACCGCCGCGCGAGCCGCCGTCGGCCCCGTGTCGCCCTGCTTCGCCAGCTGCTCGACGGTGAGGGCCAGGGCGATCCAGGGGCAGGGGTCGCGCGCGACCTCGGGCTCCTCCTTGCGCCGCCCCTGGAGGGCGCGCTTAGTCCGAGGCAAGACACCCTTGCCGCCGAAGCTGAGGTTGAGGTGGAGCGCCACCGCCGCCGGCATCCTGCGGCCCGGGCTGATCGCCTCGCCCTCGAAGTAGAGCTCCGTGGCGAAAGCCTCCAGGATGCCGTCGAGCTTCGGCGGGTCGGGCGGCGGCGCGCGGCCGTGGAAGTGAGCGGCGTGGCGGTGCCAGCCCTCGTAGACGGTCGCCGTCTAGTCGATCAGCACCTGGGGGTTGGGCGCGTCGAGCGCCCGTGGGGCACGCGCGGCAGCGGCCGCGGCGTGCGCCATCACTCCGGACTAGGAGCACCCGACAGGGCTAGCGGCGAGGCCGGCCCCGTGTAGGCTCCCGGGCGGAGGTGCGCCCCCGCGGGCGGGCGGGCCCGTGGCCGAGGCTCGCAGCAGGCTCGCGCGGCGAAGCCGAGCGTGAAGCCCACGAGCAGCAGCAGCGCCGCGAGGCCGACCCAGGCGGTCGGCGTGAGCAGCGCGCAGAGCGGCGGTGGGTCCACCGCGCAGACGGCCGCCGGCGGGGCCGGGGCCGGCGACGCGCCGAGGGCGCCCAGGCAGCGGCCCAGCGCGTGCTCCAGGCCAGCCGCGTCGGCCCCAGCACGAGGCGAGTCGCCCGCCGCGGCGCCGCTCACCTCGCAGTGGCAGCGGCAGTCGGGCGAGGGGATGTCGAAGGCGCGAGCGTAGTGCGCGGCCCAGGTTGACAGCAGGTTGGCAACTCCCCACCATCCCCCGAGGCCGCCTCGGGCGGCTCGAGCCCACATGACTATGGAAGCTGCGCGGTAGCATGCTGAGCAGGTAACTACATCTAGACTCTCAAGTAGTATAGGCATACATGTATAATCAGCAAACGATTACGCACACCCTTAAAGGGGGTACGACCGAAGACGAAGAGGAAGGCTATTCAGGGTTTGGGATATACGGTGTGAATGGCATGCGATCAAATCACAGCGAGCAGTTTTAATCTGCTTGTTGTTGTTGTTGCTGCTGTTGTTGAACTCTCGCTCTTGAAGAATAATTATTGTTGATCCCCCGCCCCGCTGGTGCGCATTGATTTTTTTCAATTGAAATGCCCCCCCCGGGGCTCGCACCTTGTTTTTTTGTGAAGGCAAATCTTCCTGCTCAAAATGGCCCCCTGGCTCCCGGGTTACAACAACAACGGCTCCCGCCTGAGACTTCCTCACAATTTAGCCAGGACCCCCGCTCCCGCCCGAGACTTCCTCGCATTTTATTCAAGAATCGCGCTCTCGCTTGGGACTTCCTACGGTTTATTTAGGAATCGCTCCTCCTGCGCTCTGGAGTCGCGCCCTCGCTGGAGACGTGCTTGCAATTTACTGAAGCATAGCGCCCTTGCGTTGGAATTTCTTGCAATTTACTCCAGCGCCGCGCTCCCGACACCCAGGCACCCAGGAGTCGCGCTCACGCTTAGGACTCCTTCGCAGATTACCTAGGAATCGGGATCTCGCTGCCCTTCGTGGCCCCGTTGCAGCCCTAAGTGGCCCCCTCGCGTTGTTTCGTGGCCCCGTTGCAGCCCTTCGTGGACCCCTCGCTTTGTTTCGTGGCCCCGTTGCAGCCCCTCGTGGCCTCCTCGTTGCCCCTCGTGGCCTCGTTGCCGCCCTTCGTGGCCCCCTCGCTTTGTTTCGTGGCCCCATATATGTATGCCCTTCGTGGCCCCCGCTCGTTCGCGCCCGTGGTGGCCCCATATGCATGCCCTTCGTGGCCCCGCTGTCGCCCTTCGTGGCCCCCTCGCTGCCCTTCGTGTCCCCGTTGCTGCCCTCAGTGGCCCCGTCCTTACCCTCCGCAGCCCAACATGCGTATGGCCTTCGTGGCCCCCGCTCGTTCGCGCCCGTTGTGGCCCCATGTGCATGCCCTTCGTGACCCCGCTGTCGCCGTTTGT